TCTTCCAGACTTAACGCCTCCATTACTGAACATAAGTAGCCCCCAGGTGCCATGGCACAGGGATGGTGGTGGGAGCTGCTTGGCTCGTACCAAGCCCATGTTAGACTCATTGGTGCCTGCCAGGCAGCCAGAGTGCATTTTTTCAGCTCAGCTGCCACAGTTGTGGAGTTCAAAGCCTTCCCTTCATCTTTTCCTGGTGGAAACACAGGTTTGCTTCTGCGTTTTGAAGCAGAAGTGGTATTTTTTGCCGACAGGGTGGAAATCAGCCCTTCTGGCTCAGCAAGGGGGAGGCTCAGTGGGTGGACAGTGGGTGTTTCCCAAAGACCCCAAGCCAGAGGCAGCAATAACAGTGAGGGGACATGATGCTGCATCTCAGGTGTCCTCTTGCTAAGAGGACAAGAGTGATATTAGGTGATAGTTTTCTGGTTGGGGCGGGAGGAACAAGGATGTGGTATTTTGGGATGCTTCATGAGTGTCATGTCTGTGATACCATGATGAAGCCATGGTAGGTGACTTTCATGTTCTGGGGTGACGTGTGACCCTGTGGCCCTGCCTTTCAGAGTTTGATGGAGAATCGGTCGGATGACAGCGGGAACTGTTGTTATCACCGGGGGAATCCTAGCAACAGTGATCCTACTGTGCATCATTGCCGTGCTCTGCTACTGTAGGCTACAGGTGAGTGCTGCAGCTGTCCCCATCTTGCCACAAACCCCAGCAGTGGCACTGCTCCTCAGGCTGAACTGATGCTGCAGGAGGGGTCTCAAAGGGCATTTATTGCCTGTGATGGACAGAATGTTCAAATACCATTTCCCCCAGGTGCTGAAGAGTTATGTCTGTTCCTCATCCCAGTACCAGGAGACTCCCCTAAGGCTTTTGAGGCTCTGCCGTGCTTGCTAATTTAGGTGTAGGCTTGGCTGGGGTTGCAATACCAGCCTAAGATTTTTGTGTTGTTTTTTTTTTCCCCCACTGTAAATGAAATGAGGAGGCTTCCAACAACAGCTAGCTACAACCTCCTGCTCTTTAAAAGTTAATGTGAAATCTGTGCCATGCAGCAGTGTGGTGAAAAGCACAGCAGTTACTTGGAGGAGTTCCCAACTGGCATGGTAAAATATCTTCCTCTTGCAAACTTCGGTGGGGAAGGAGAAGATGAGTTCCCCGGCTACCTGCTGCAGCATGCTCAGGTCTGGGTTTTGTCCAGCTTCTGCTGCTTTGCAGGACCAGGTACCAATGGAGCAAAGCAGCAAGTAAAGCAGCAAGAGGCTGGCAGAGGGTTTCTCTGCCAGGGGAATGAAGGGAACGGGGATGTGGCAGGGCAGGCTGTGAAGACGAATCCGGCTGCTCTGCTTCCCCTGAAACAACCCTTTCCCTTTCATGCAGTATTATTGCTGCAAGAAAGATGACTCCGATGAGGAAGAGGAGGAGGAGGAAGAGGAAGAGCCTGATGTTCCCACGCACTCTCACCTTGGCATGTGCAACGCCTGCAGCTCCCGCATGGTGGACGGCCAGGGCAGCCCCGCACCCCCCACCAGTGAGCTCAACCAGCATGGGGCTCACAACTACTGCCCAACCTGCTCCCCTTACGGCTCCCCCTTTTACATCCGGACTGCCGACATGGTGCACAACGGGGGCGAGAGGGTCACCTACACCCCTGCATGCTATAAGGAGATGGGGCCACCCATCAACATGGCCACCCTGCAAAGCTACCTGGTGAGCCGCCACAGCCTCCTCCGTGAGAGCTTCCCAAACCCGCGGGCTATCAGCACGGAGGTGTAGTCACCATTGCCACTAGCACAGGGTGCTCCCAGCTGGCACCCGCTTGAGGGAAGGGGCTTTTCACTTGTCTTTGGAGGGGGGTCCTGCAGAGAAGACCCCGTAAGTCCAGCCCGAGACCAGCACGGTTGCCCAGCATGGCTAAGTTTTACGGGCAAGAAGACGAGACCTCAAAGGGCAACATTGAACCGGTCACCTCTGAACCTATCATACGTGTCATTATTATTATACTCTATCTCCTGAGGGGACTTGTCTAACGAGGGCTATGTACAGTACAACCTAATTTAATTACCCCAGGCTCCCCAGCTCCCCAAGCCCAGAGCAAGGTCTTTGGTGTCCCCATGCAGCCACCTGAGGCGATGCCCACCACCTCCAGCACACAGAGCGATGCGTGACCACCCACCGGCTGCTGCCCCTGGCAAATCCCACTGCTGAGCTGGGAATGGCAGCACTCCTTGCCGACAGGAAAGCAAAGAAAGGAAGATCCGGATCATCCTGTTCCCCTCATACTGCATTAGTTGCCGCTAGCAGTTAGCTTTCATGTTCGAGTGTAAGATAGGACACTTTCTACCACCCGCTTCAGTCTTCGCACATTCTGAAGAAGTTCACGACATGAATTTCTATCACTGCCAAGGGAGGCAAATTTGCTCATAAAACCATTCACATACACAAATGGTCACAGGATGATCCTTCTGCAGCCGAAGCCCCCACCTCTTCCACTCTTCACAAGCTTTCTTAGGAGTGATTTTAACTTGGACCCATAAAAATAGCAAGATTTTACTTATGGGAAGAATTGCATCCCTAAATAACAGCAGTTTTGGTCACCTTTAGCTTTCAAAGACCTAGCCAGGCCACTCTGACAGCTCTGGACAGCCAGAGGAAGGCTGTCTTTAGGATGGCTTTTGCTTTTGACAGCAACAGCAGAGACCATCAGGTCACACACCTCCTTTGCAGGGCCCACAACCTCCCATGGGAGAGTGATGTTCCATTGGTCTGGATCCCCTCTTCTGCTTTTGGAAGAAGAGGGCACAAGACCCAAACTTGGGTTCACTGGCTCTGCGTCTCGTAATAACAGCCAGTGACTCTGCCTTTCTGCAAAAAATGAATGTGGGAAAGTTCCTTCTTCCTCCATAAATCAGATTAGGTGAAAAATTACTAAAAGGGTTTCTCCATCATTCACAGGCATTTCTGTAGCAACTGGTGCAGGACCACTCGGCTGAGCCCTTCACAGTCAGTGCAGGGAGGAAGGACCTGGACAGCAACAATTCCCACAGCCCTGCAGATCCTGTTGGAGGCAGTGGCAGGAAATGCTTGCCATGCCTTTGCAATATAGGGTACCACTGCTCAGAAATTTGAGTGGTGGGTTGGATTTTTTTTTCACCACCACAATTTAGAAATCATCCTGCTGCTCACAGAAGGGTTTGGACTTAACTTCTCTGTTCATGCACAGAAGTAAGTCTTTGCATAGAGGCACATGCTACATGAGACTTGAATGTCTACGTTATCAGGCAAAAAGCTAATTTACACTTTGGACCTGCCCATGCCTTGGCATCTCTGCACCAACTATCGAAGAAAGGAGACAGACAAATGTGAAATGTGGTGACAGTCGTCATAACCAAACACCTTGCTCCAGCCTGCATTTTACACAGCCTTTTGTGCAAACTTTATGCACCATCTCCCCCACCTCTGGCCCAGAAAGACACTGTATTTCCATTATTCTGAGACTCAGCCTAGCTGCATTGCTTTTAGAGTCTCCTTCCATTCTCAAAATAGTGATACCAGGTTTTAAACGTCCTCTCACATTAAGGGCAGGCAGGAGGGAAGACCAGAGTTAGCAGCAGCAAAGCTGTCTGGATCCAACTGGGCAACAGTCCATAGCTCTTACTGTTTCCCATCCAGCCAATACATCTTCGTGAAAACATAGTCTGTAACTGGAAAAACTATCTTGCTAAGTTGGTAAATCTCGTCCTTTCCCACTGGAGCATCTGCTCAACTAGGTCTCATCCTGCTGGAAGCCACAAGAAGTTAGTATGTCCCAGCACGATCTGTGGGCTGCCACCTGCACAGCTCCACTAGACGGCCCTGCGATCGCCTCAAAGGGCACAGAGCCAGCTCACGGGCACAGCGGCTCCCAGCATCCAACTCTACCTCTTGTCACACAGCAAGGCTTCCCACCACAACAACAGCATGTGTTAAGCTGTGATCTCCAGAGGGTGGGAATAACGCAGGAGCTTTTGCTTCTGTGGGTCATCCTTCTGGTGAAAGGAAGGCAACCGCATCATCGTCACACGCGCATTAAGCATGACCTGTCACTGGCTAATGAGGTGCCAAGGCTGGCAAGGCAGTTCCAGAGTAGGTGGATGGCCAAGAAGAGGGTTAGCCTCACAGGGAACACGTCGCCCTGGGTCTGGCTACAGGGAAACGGGTGAGTCTGAAAGGGCTGGAAACACAGGAGATGCAGCTGTGGGTTTGAAGGCTTTGGGGATGGTGGAAGAACAGGATGGGGTAGATGCAGGGATCCCAGATTTTTTCAACTTCAGATTCCTCCTGTTATTATTCTATGTCTTTGTTGCTCAGCTATGGGTCCAAATTCGATGTCAGAAATAAATGAGGATTTTGAAATACAAAACAGAGGTGGTTTCTGTTCTTTGGCAGGCAACACGAAATGGGGTTACCTGGTGTTGCCTGGAAGCTATACTGGTGCAAGAATTTTTCCTCCCCACCCTTCCTGTTCCTGCTTTTGTTCCTTGTGTCCCTCTCCTCTCTTGCCCTCTGGCCTAGGTGCATGCATCCCAAAACCACAGTTTTATAGTTTAGCTCTTTATTGCGACACAGAATTTTGCAGTATGTTTTGGAAATTTTCCTTCTAGTATAAAAGTCTGCTGGGCAGACCAGAGAGATGGCTGCTGTTGTCTGTGCCCTGCTGCGGGCTGGCCTCTGCACCCCACTGCCTCTAGCTAGGGCTCTTCAGAGATGATGACAGCAGGGACAGGCTTTGCCAACTCACTTCTCAGTAGCTTTTGAGGAACTGATGGTTTGTCTTGTGTAAAATCCTCTTGGTGGAGAGGGAACAGTGGTGACTAACTCCTAGGAATTCTTCCTCGCTGAACAGGCTGGTCTACAGGGACTGGCTCCACAGCCAAGCCAAGTGGTGTGGCTTCAAGTGGTAAAGTCTGGCTCGAGGGAGCTTTTGTCCCTTAACTTGGAAGGGAAGTATGGCCTGGCAGCAGTCAGGGTGACTTGAGCCGACATGACCAGCAGCAAGCCTTCCTGTAGTACCAGTGAGAGCACAGCTTCACCTTCAGCACCAGCACACAGTTGGCTGTCACTTTGTCTTCACAGTCCTCTTCTGGGGAACAGAAGCATCCACGGAAGGCATTAAAAAGGAGTTGTGCTTCCCCAGCAAAGAGCTGGACATAGCTAAGGGCTCCCAAGGGCTCCGCTCCCTTCCTATCCTCCCAGACTTACCTGGTGCCTCTGTGGGGCATGGCTGGAGTTGGCAAATCTGCCTGGCTTCTGGTTTGGAAGTAGGGTCACAGCCCTGAGCCAGCGCTTCCCCCTGGTAACACTTTACCTCACGCAGTCGCACACCAGCACCACACGTCTTGCTGCACTGTCAGCATCAACAGGAGAAAGAAATCATGAGAGGCATTCTTTCATTTTTCTGTAGTTCCCAAGTTTGTTCTTCCAGTGAGGCCTCCTGGTCCCTGCTTTGGATACTGTTCTTTAAGAAGTTTGGGTAAATTCCACTCTGATCGCAAACTTTCTGCTGCCGGAGGAGAGCCTCCCTGAGCTGGGGTCAGAGCAGAGCAAGGAAGAAATAATCACAGAATCAAGAATAGTTACGGCTGGACCATGCTGCAAGGTTTTCCCCAGCTTGCATGTGCCAGTCCCTTCACCTGCTAGCTGTCTGCAGAAAAGCAGAGCTTATGGTCCCCTTCGGCAGAACAGGCTGCTAGAAAACCTCACTGCCGGTTGTGCTCCACCAACCAGGGTTGTGAGGCCTCTGCTCCCCTTTCCCCACTACCCTCAGCCTTACCTGAGACCAGGAGGTAGTGAACCACGTTGAACACGGCCTCCTGAAACAGGCAGCTTGTTCCTCAGGTTTCTGAGAAGCTTCACAGCGCCTCTCAGGGTACTCCCTGTACACACCATTCTCCAGGCCCGCACACAAGACAACCCGGGTCTTCATCCCTCGCCCACAGCTGACATCACACTGGGAAAGAGAACATAAAAGCCAGGTAACGAATGATGCTTGTCAGCTGTAGAACTTCAACTAGTATGGCATCCTGCTCAGAAGCAAGGTGCTTAATGCCTGTCTAACACCAGTCTAATGGAGCTAGTACTGCCCAGGTCACAGCAGCAATGGATGTCTGCAAAGGAGCTGAGTTTCTTAGGGAGCGGGGACAGAAGCTGGTACTTAAGTGTTTAGCCAGCACTGTGGATGCTGAATTCACCTCTGCTAGTCTTGAGAGCAGATACAAGGGATCTGGAGCAGCCAAGGTAAAACTACAAGATGCTGTTTCTGTCTTATTTTATTGTATCTATGTTCTCAAAAACCATGTAGCGTATTCATGTAGCAACCTGTATTTTGGAGTGACAAGCTTTGTGTGGACCCCAGGGGACCAAACTGGTGCACTGCAGGTGAGTTGCATGGGCAAGTACTACTAAGCCCAAAGCTACACATGCCTAGCTGGGAGGACTCATTCTCTTGGGACACCACCAAGAGAAGCAGCTCATTCTAGCTCAGCTCTGCTTCCTGATGCCCATGGAGGTAATTGCCAGTTTGAGATTTCACTGCTTTGTGCCCTTCTTCACCACAGCAGGGCTAGCACAACTAGCTTGTGTCTGCCCTTAGTCATCCTGTGAACTCAAGAGCTCATCAGCTGAGAGAGGGAACATAGCAAAGGCAAAGAAGCTGGCACATGCAAAGGTGGGGAACTCAGATTCAAGTGAGTTTAATAACCTGGATCCAGCTGAAAAACTGCACTGCAGTACTGTCTGTGACCCACACCATAGGCCAGAGCAGAAGAGAGTTACGGAACTGCCAGGTCTCCAGGTTTAACTAGTTTGTGATCGTTACCAGTGCTGGAGGGAGACTCAGCTGAATGTAGTCAGCAGCTACAAAGAATAGCAAAATGAGAACAGAAACAAGGCTTAATTACTTCTCTGGTTCCCTAGAAAAGTTTTTTCTCAGTACTTTGTGAATCCCTGTTTTGCTCAAGACTTTAAAGACGACCCCCAAAATGGACTCAATGTGTTCTTCTACGTACTCTAAAATTTGGATCAGCTTGTATCAGGAAGCCTAAAGCCTCAAGGCCTTAAGCAACAGAAGGGAAGTACGAAGATCAACAGGGCCCCTGGACCATTTTTACTGGACTTTTAAGTTCTGAGGCAACTACACAGTCAATGGTCTGGACACAATTTCCAGGGCAGAGATGTGGGCTATAGTTCAGATTTAGCTTTGGATATTATTTATCAGAGAGGAAACTGTGTTTGCTGAGGCTTTCTCTTCAGCATGTAGGACCATACTCTTGGGATGGATGAGTGCAGGTTCTGGACAAAGAGCTCTGCTGAGGTGTGTGCTATAACCCAGCTATGAGCAAGAGGTGGAAGAGGATAGTTTCCGTAGGACATTGCTGCCCTCCAATGGAGGTTCCTGGGAAAACAGCAAATGCCACAAACTGTGGCAGTCGATAGCGTATTGGAGGTAGGGGGCAAGCTGGGGTATTCATTACTCCTTCGTCCTTTCTAAAAGGAGGGCATAGCCCTACAGCTGGAGGTCACACCATACAATCTTGTTCCACCAAGGGAGCCAGGCTCCTACCGTCTCCTGCATCTCCTATGGGATATGGGGTGGAAAGGAGGGCTGAGGACATAGGGCTGTGCTTGGCTTTACCTGGTCCCACTCCTGCTCCACCCAGTGTGCGGGACAGTTCTTGTCTCCACACGGATGGACAGCCAGAGGCTTGGTGACTGGGTCACACTGCGAGTTGGAGATCACTTTGCCCTCCAGGTTGCGGCATGCGATGAAGCGGCTCATGCGTCCCTCACCACACGATCCTGAGCACTTGGAGGAATAACGGGCATTTAGACACATCAGAAAGCAGGAAGGTGGAGGGGTCAGGGTTGGTGGTGCCAGAAGACCTGAGTTCAGAGCCTAGCCCTGCCACTGGGACTGTGGCACTGGATCCCAAGGGTCTTTAGAGGTACATCTGCTCAGGTGCTTCCATTCTCCTGGTGCCATGAGCTTCCCAGGTAATTGAATGGAGCTCACTTCACAGCTAACCAAAATTTACAGCATGAAGAGGCAAAAACACACATTATTCTGGTTTCTTTAGATTAGCCTCTTCCAGGAGAAAGCTGAAAGAGAGCAGTAGCATGACTGCCCACCTGCTGCCTCCTGCCAGCCCTGCACCCCCAGCATCAGGTACAAGCAGAAGCAGACCCTCAGCACTCACCGGGCCCCAATCCGAGGCAGTCCAGCGGCGGTCGCAGGGCGGGCCTGTGCATGCCTTCTCGCTGCTGGGCTTCTGGGTCTCATCACAGAGGGGTGCTTCCACTGAGCAGCGCACCTCCCGCTTCATCATCCCCTGCGTGCCACACCGGGCTGAACACTGCAATGGCCATACACAGTCAGCCCTGGGGCTCAGAAGCAAAGGCTAAGGGGAATGAGTAAAGGTGAGGGAGGCAGCTATGCCTCCTCCTGTTTCCTTCTGCTGCACTAGGAGAGAGAGGAAGGGCACCAGCAGGGACAGGAAAAGGTGGGTCCATCTCTATCTCTGCTGCTTATTTAATTTGGGCCCTAGAGATCCAGCGCTCCAAGATGCTGATGCCTGGAGTGCTGTTCAAAGTCACTAGTCCACTGGCCCAGTCCCAAGCAGACTGTGGAGAGTTAATCAAAAGAATTTTGATTTAATTTTAGCTTCTCTGTGTCTCCATGCTACTGTTTCCCCATTTGCTCTTAGAATCATAGAACAGTTTAGACCCTCTGGAAGAGGGAGGTAAAGTCTCCTGCTTGCAGGGCTTTAATTTGGTCCACATACTGCTTGAAAAGTGACCTTAGGAGAAAACACTTTGCAATGGCTTTTGTCTGCTGATCAGTGCCAGAACAGGGTAGCCGTGCATAAAGGCAGTCCTTGCTTCCCCAGGAAGCCAAGGGCTTCCTTAGCACCCAACATCTATCAGCCACCTTCCTCCGGGCCCCAGCCCAGCCCTGGCTGCTTACCTCTGGAAGCAAAGCTCTCCTGCTGCTTACCTACCTCAGACCACTCGGAGAGCTCCCACTGGGGCCCACAGGCCTTGTTCTTGCAGGCTTTCCTCTCCATGGGCCTGGCCAGCCCAGCTGACTCACAAAGGTCATCATAAACAGAGCTGTCAAAGCCTGGAGCCAACATCTTCCAGCAGCGCACAGTGCGGTACTGATAGCCCTCACCACAGGTTCTGGAGCACTCGCTCCACCGGCTGGTCTCCCACCTCCATGAGCAGTCCCCAAGAAAGAAAGCACAAATGAAGACCCAGGTAAGGGAGACAAGGGACATGGGGTGGCTGGGGAGTGCCTGCACACCTGGGACTCCCTCACTAAGTAGCTGCTGCTAAGAATATGCTCATCACACATACGTCTGTGTTAAGGCAATGCTGGTCTTGAACGTCAACTTGCCCTTAGCAGGCAATTTAGGCAGCAAATTCCTTCCCTCTTTTTGCATACAAAGGGATAACTACTAGTTTATGCATATCTTTCAGCCCAGAAATGGCTGTATACTTTGAGCGTGTTGTCCCTGTGGACAGCTGATGTCACTTTGACTCACCTAGGCTGGCAATCTCTCCCTGTGCAAAATTCGTGAGTAGGTTCTGGTCGGGTTAGAGCATCACAGTATGTTTCATCCACTTCCACTCCATCGTACCGGACACACATTGCATAAGAGGTGCTGATACCTGCTGGGCAATCAAGACATTCTCTTGGTCACACTCCATTAGATTAAAAGCCTCCACTCACCATGATTAAATCACTGCATCTGAAATGCTACCTGCCATTTTAAAAAATACCAGTATTCTCTCCATCGACAACCAAGAAGGACTTCACATGATCAGTCACTTGAAGCCAAACCTACCTGAAGTACATGTGGAGCTGCAGGGGGCATAAGCTGAGACTTTCCACCGATACATGTCAGCCAAGCTGATGTCATCGTGGCCCACAGGGCTCACATCAAACTCATTGCTGTGGAAAAAGGAGGCAGTATGAGCTAAAAATGAAGAATTGCCACAAAATATAGTGAAATTCCTCCTCACTGTCTCTGAAGATGAGATGAAACCTAGTGTTTCTGCTCTCCACGTCCCCCACCTTGGGCAAGATGGACCACTGATGAACAGAATGTAGAGCCTTGATCCACCTCCTGAATTCAACTTCAAGGCAGTGGATCAACATCACTGTGAGAGGAGGCAGCACTCACAGTGACTCTTGTGTATATTACGGTCTTTTGACCACGCGGGTGCCCTCAGCCTCAGTTCATACCATCACCTTGAGAGGTACAACACTAGGTTGGAAAGGGGAGCTCAAGCATGGTCCTTCTTAGTAACATATAACTTGGGGTGGAGAATTCAGATGTGGCTTGCCAGAAACCTTTAGAAGTTGGCCCTCATTCTCCTGCAAAGAATGAGGAGTCGTATTTACTAATGTTACAGAAGTTTCAAGAAGCTTATGTGCTCAGAGGAATGGAACAGAAGGGGCAGGATGTGGTGGTAAACGTGTGACATGCTATAGACTCATCGCCTACTTTGCAACCACATCAGTGTTGGCTTCACAGGTCTTTCAGCATGCATTTAAATGGATCCCCTAGAGGCAGGGTCCTGAAATACGTTCTAGGAGCAGTATGTCAGGCCAGTTGTGACAGTCGGTCTTTGGAGGACACACCATTGGTCAAGCATCTACAGCGGCTGCCATGGACAGACACTGGTGAAGGGGGATATCAAGGACAGCAGTGGGACTACCAGAAGATTGGCTTGGCCTTCCCTCCCCAGCTAACCATGCTTTTGTTTCGCCCAGGAAATCAAGTGACACCTTTCAGTGCCAGGGGCTTGCAGAGGCTTTGCCTGGCTGATGTCCATGGTTGGGCTGGCACCTAGCAGAGGGCTCTCCACAGATGCCATCACGCTGTAGTTGGCTGCTTCCCCCTGACTCCCAGCAAATGCATCCAACTTCAAGTCTTCCAGTGAGTTCTTATGGGCTGGCACTTTGTGGAGGCCCTGTGGCCACCGAGCAGCTGTCTCGATCCATAGTCCTGCTGTGGAGTTTCTTGGGGCCAGCCTGGCTGCCAGGTGCTGCAGCTCCCTACAGAAGGCAGTATTGTGTGGGTCTCGGTGACACAGTCGCCTGAAGAGACGAAGCCTGGAGGATACTATGTGGCTGTTCTCTGGGAGCTCTGATCTCCTCATGCTGTAGGGTACAGCTGTGCTGATGGAAATCTGATTGAACCTAAGAGCTGGAAAAAAAATACAGGCATGCTTGAACTATATTGAATGGCTTATACTTCAGCATGTGGTATTTAGCAAGACAAAAAACATTCATTATTTGGCCTCAAAATCACAAACTGCCACCAGGGTGCACCAACAGGCCTTAACTGCCCAGAGCAGCTTCACACACACTCTGCCCATTGCTCAGGAGCTCCACTTAAGGTCAGGCCTAGGCCTTCATTTCTAGCGTTCTTTCTTCCTAAACTGTTGTTTGGCTTTCCTAGATTGACCTCAGATTGGACTTCTCCCCTTGTTTTTTACCTGATGATCCCTGGACTGTGGCTAGGACCTGCTCCTGTCCCTCCCTGCTTGCCAAGCTCAGGTACTGTGGGACTGCTCTGCCTGAGAGGGCACTGACTGATCTCTGCTGTGGTCACCCTATCTCAGCTCCCCTTCCCTAACAAACAGAGCTATTAGCCCTTGCTGCTCCCTGACAATTTCCACCCCACTATCAAGCGTCATTCCCTCCTGTCCACCCTGATGGTAAAGCCACCTTAGATTTCAAGAAGACCAGTGTGGGATGTCCTCTTCCAATGAACAAATTGGGAGAGAAGGAAAGACAAAGCAACCAACCCAACTCTCTTTCTCCGCCAACTGCTGCTGCTTCCTCCTCCTCTTCCTCTCCTGCTGTGTTTGTGTGATAGATCTGCCTTATCTGTAAGTCATACGTCTTCTCTTCACCTTGTTCCCAGCCCCAGTTTCGAGCTTGACTGGTGGAGTTGGTATGGAAGAAGTGTGGGTGACCAAAGCCTAAATCTTCGTGCCGTTCTCTTAGAGGAAGCTGTTCGCTGGTATCATCTGGTGACAGGGTGAGCCATGTGGCATTGAAGTCCTGGGCAGCTCTAGAGTTGGCTGGAATGGGATAGTTCTGGCTGGTCTCTGGTAGGTGGTGGTAGAGAGGTCTGTCTGTATCAGGGGCTGCAGTTTGGAGAGGTGGTATCCGTGGTACAGTGTAGTCGTAAGTTATGTGTGGCATTTTCCCATTGAAGTTGTAGTACTGGAGGAAATGGAGAAAGAAAACAAAACTCTCTTTATTTTAAGAGCATGTATTTCCCAGAGAACTCCCCTAGCCACATCCATCTTGTGAAGGATGTTAAAAGAAGATAGCATCCTCATAAATCCAGGAGAAGCACACACAGCCAAAACAATATACGGCTTCCTCAGCCACCTACAGGTTTGGCTTGGGAACCAGGTTAATATTCCCTCTGTCTGAGGGAGGCTCACAATTCTGGTATAGGCAAGACAGGAAAGCTTAAAACCAGTTCCTCACATACCATGGCATTCAGAGACTGGTTAGTGGGTCCATGAGCTATGATATACTCCAGTCCATCTGAGTTCAGACTCAAGGGCCTCCGGTACTTGAAGACTGTGCCAGCTACCCTGAAGTTCTGAGGGTTGTCAATGGCAGAGTTGCCGTTGAAGAAGAAATGTCCAGATTCATCTGCAAGTGCTTCAAAGAGAGAGAAAATGGGTAAATGTGATACTCCGTTGTCGTGGTTTAAGCCCAGCCGGCAACTTGGAACCACGCAGCCGCTCGCTCACTCCCCCCCTTTTCCTTCCTCCCCCTGCTCCCGGAGGGATGGGGAGGAGAATCGAAGGAATGTAACTCCCACGAGTTGAGATAACAGCCCTCCAGTAACTAAGGTATAATACAAACCACTACTGCTACCAATAATAATGATAAGAGGAATAACAAGGGAAAAGGACACAACCGCTCACCACCCGCCGACCGATACCCAGCCCGACCCGAGCAGCGATCTGGCCTTCCGGGTAACTCCCCCCAGTTTCTATACTGGGCATGACGTGCTGTGGTATGGAATACCCCTTTGGCCAGTTTGGGTCAGGTGTCCTGCCTCTGCTTCCTCCTGGCTTCCCCTCCTCTCTGGCAAAGCATGAGACTGAGAAAGTCCTTGGTCAGAGTAAACATTACTGAGCAACAACTAAAAACATCGGTGTTATCAGCGTTGTTCCCAGACTGAAAGTCAAAAACACAGCACTGCACCAGCTACTAGGAAGGAGACAAAATGACTGCTGTAGCTGAACCCAGGACATCCGTGCAGAACACTGGGGCTGCACTGGTACTGAGAAGAGCAAACAGCTCAAGATCAAGAAAAATGCAATAGAAAAAGAGCCACAGGCCTTCCAGCATTCATATTCCACATCAGGCGAGCAATGTTCAATGCCTGGTGCTTTCATTTCCCTCTCCAACAAGAGCACAAATGTCTTCACAACCGGGACAGTCCATAGTGAGCTCAGTTTCCAAATGTTCCTCCTGCCACTGGTTGCTGGAGATGTAACTTTGATTTATGGATAGACGAAGTGCCCCTATGCTACCCTGGAGGAAATGCTCACAGATAGCTCTCTCACAGGACAGATGGGAGTACACAGAGCCCTCCTCCCACCTCCCAGGCAGCTAAGCTGGGATCTCCACATCCATCTGGTTCCTCTGCTTACCTAGGATGTTTTCTGTTTTCCTGCGCTCAATGATAAGGATGTCTGTGGCACCAGCTGGAATGTTGGTGATGAACACATAACCTGAGGAACAGAACAGAGTGTTAGGAAACCTCAAGGACAAAATAAAAAGGTCTGCATAGGAAATGCAGCTCGTGGGACAAATGTCTTTGTCGGAGGACAACGCTGCCCTTCAGGGGCAGGATGCTAAAGACATGAACGCATGTTGCAAAGCCTGTGAGCTTTAATCCCAGCTTCCCTCTGAAGTTCCATTACAAATCACTGTTACTGGTCTCTAAGGCTCAGCCCGAGCTGTCTGGAATCACAAAGGAGCTGCACAGGTATAGCAGTCTGGCTTTAATGTGTGGATGAACGTGCTCTCCCACTCTTTCTGGCAAGAGCAGAGAAAACACTTACTAGTGATCAGGGCTGATGCTGAAGAGAGGATGGAAAAAAACATAGGTCCCCTCAGCAACTCACTCAACAGAATTTGTCTCAGGAGTAGCATAAAAATTGACCTTTAAAGGGAGAGGAAATAAGAAGGCTCTTAAAAGCTGTGTGGTTTGGCAGCTTGTCTTTCCTGCTAGAAATGCAGGTCTTGTCTGTTCTGTAAGATTTTATGAGGACTGGAATTGGAAGCCAAATCCGTACCTGTACTGCTGGAGGGGTTAGCACCATTATCCCTGCTCTAGAAAGGGGCCTGAGTGCTTTCCTAGTCTGGTGTCTGTAGGGAGTGATGCAGACTAGTGAAACATCAACAGTGTGAAATGTTCCAAAACAGTCTCAAACACCAGTTAATTAACTACTAATGAGTATACCACAGTCTTTTCCTTCTGTGGGTGGAAGAATGGAACATGAGGTTGCAAGGGATGAATCTCAGCCCAGTTTCAGGGGGACTTCTCAACTGTGCCAGCCATAGGACTGGTAAAGCAGGAGAATTGCAGGCTGAAACAAACACCATGACCCTCATCATAAGAGCTTATGTTTCAAAGGAATACATAGCACTAATAAAAGAAGATCTCTTCACATTATCTGAGGTGGGCAAAATGATAAAATCAATAGGAACAAATAGATCCCCAGCTGCTTCCTATTGTAAAGAGGTGAAGAGAAACCTTACCAGCCTAATATATAGCACATCAAACCCATCTCCTCTGGTGATTAAGTGAAAAGGACAAAATACAGGCATTTAAGCAGGCATGGCACTCTTCAGCTCTTTCCATCAAGCAGCTGGGAAACTCCTACCCGCATCCAAGCCAGTCACCCTTCATGCCCGCTGGTGCTAAAAAGTCGCAGGTGAAGTCTCTGGACTGTGGTAGTAGGGAGTACCTATCTGTGAGATTGCCTTTCGGAAGCTGCCTGAGACACGGTGGCAAGTGCTGCCGTCCCCTCCACACACCCTGCATCTGTCCATCGTCCGGGGTGAGTACAGGCTCCCATCGCACCCAACTGGCTGCAAAGAATAAAACAAGAGAGGGTTTCTTGGGGCCAGCATATCTCCACAGGTCAGGGTCTTTTCAAGGAAATGCTACTATGCTCTTTTGGTGAGGTTCTGGGGGTGGGTGATGTAGGTTAGCTTGGAGTGGAGTAATGAATGAATCCCACAGCAGCAGAAATTCACCCAGGCATGCGCTTACACACACCTGATTTCTACTAATTCCTCACAGAGCCTCACCTCACATTTCCCATTGATGCAGACCCCTTGATAGGTCCTGTCCTTGCAGGAGGTACCATCCTGTGCTTGGACCATCAGCTGCCTCTCTCCACTCTGGGTGGTGCACTGGAGGTCACACGGCTTATTGGAGATACTAGTGTAGTCATCTGAAGGGACAGAGGCAGAAAGTCAACAAGCAGATCAAGGTACTCAGAGATGGGCAGCGAGAAAGGGGACCTTCCTCTTACTCATACTGATGCCAGCTTGGATGTTCTTGCTGCTTGAAATGAGACCCCAAGGCTATGGATTCTGTAGTGCTAAAGTGGGCATGGTATGGGGCTGCAGCTGGGAACCATGCCTAGCAGAAATACTTCTTGCTGGCAAGCCCTTTTCCTTGTCATACCCTCTCCCCTTTGCAATGCCCTGTGCCAAACATGGGACTCTGCATCAGCAGATCCCAGGCCACACATAAATACAAAAGAGCAAGCAAGACCTGTAAGAGGGGTACTGACTGTCTGGGGCTGTGGTCAGCTACACTGCATTCAGCTCAGGAACTGAAGCTAGAGGTGCAGCTATGTGCCCCTGGCAGCTAATGGAAAAACAGGTGGGTCCAGAAAGAGGGTAATATCTGCGGTGAGCTCAATCTGGGCCTCAAGGCACAAATGGCAACCCATGTGAAGCAACCTGTCTCGCCTGTGCAGGAAATGGATGGGCATCCTGTTCAGAACAACCCACCACCAACCCGGTACAAAGCATGCTGGGTGACAGAGGCAGCCAAAATTGTAGAAGGCACAAAGAGCATGAACACCCACTCTGCCAAGATGACTGCTGGTTAGCCAAGACAGCTCAGAGAAGCCTGTGTCCTGTCTGCCCACCAGTGCTTGCTGATGTAGGATCCAAAACAGGAGCAATGTGGTGAGAGAGGAGGCCTGGCTGGGTGGAGCAGTTCTGTGAAAAGACAGGGAACGATTTCTCCAAAGCAGAGAGCATAGGGAAGCACTTCCAGACCAGCCAGGAGCATCCATCCCTTTTCCCCTGGGCCCTTCCCCTTCTCCTGTGCCTGAGAAGATCCTGTGGGTGTTTTCTCTCCCTTGATCCTTTGAGTGAAGCTGTGAAAACCCACCTGGATAGAGGGGCATCCAGTGGTAGTAACGCTTCCCAAAGGCTTTGGCATTGAAACTGGAGCACTGCTGCTGTTTGAAGCTTGCTGTGTTGGCTGGGCAGGGCTATGGAAGGAATAAATGTGATCAAAAGCTCCCCGTGTCACAGCCATGGTTGTGACAGCTGCTTGTCCCTGCTGCATCCCTGGAGGATGAAAATGCCCTATCCAGCCTGGAAGGAACCAGTGATGGACTCTGAGGTGCCATAATACAGGCAGAAAGGCCAGGCCTCTGTTGCCAAGGGCCCTTCAGACAGCTATATTTAACAGTCCTGCAAAAATTACTTCCAGAAAAAAAAAAAAAAAAAAAACCCAAAAAAACCCAAACCATACTGGAAAAATGTATCCATCCCCCCACTCCACAACAAATATATTTTTATATCCTTTTCCCCCACCTCTCAGTCCCAGAGAGTACAGCCCATCTCCCACATCTTCAAAGGCACACTGTCACCCACCCCAGGAGTGGATCACACCTCTTGTCTGCACTCCTTTGATGGGCAGTTCTCCAAATTCCGTGTTCCCCAGTGAGGATCAGTCACTACTGGAAGTTGTTCTTACCTGCTGCTGGCACAGTTGGTAATGCTTGGCTTGACCAACACATATGGTACTGTTTGTTGCCTGTGGTACCTGTAGTCTGCAAACCAGAAGAAAAATGAGCTGGAGGTTTGGGAAGTACTGAGGTAGTGAGGATGACAGAGAAGTCAGGCCTGACTTAAGGGGGAGAAGCAAAGCAGGTATTTTATCAGAGGAAAGCTTTCTGGATCTAGACTGGCCAACATCTCTGAAGCACATTTTCTGTGCTTTTAGGTGAACTGTGATTTTAGACTACTGTCATTCTGGGACAGGTTGAGCAGACAGGGAACAACTCCAGAATCACCACCTCTGTGTCGACCTCTGAGCTCCAAAAAGGTTGATGTGACAAAAGGACAACAGACTCTGATGATGAATCACTCCCTCAGAAGCCCACGGCATTTACAGTGACCAGGGAAGCTGATCTCAGGATTCACTGTGCAGAAGGCAGAGAGAGAGAACCTCTCATGGAGACTGGCCACGTTAAAAGATTAGCAGATGATGGACCAAAACCACGGGAATTTCTCAACACTTCAGCTCTGGCCAGCAAGTGTTATCCAGGGGACACTGGAGTCCTTGACTGATGCAAAGGCAAAAAAATTCTTGAAAGCTGGGAAGATCTATGGAGAATGGCCGAGACCACAGATTAAGGCAATATGGTGTGTGCGAACAGCAGTAGCAGACAATGCGTTAACAGTACTGGGAACTTAGGGTACACTGTGTAATGAAGAACCCTACAGGCATACTCAGGCTGGACTGGCTGGAGGCACTGCAGCTGTCCCCCCAGACCAATGCTTTACGTGATGTAGGCAAAGCCTAAATTTACACCAAGGAGCTCGAAAACTGCCATCCTTTCCAGCTGAAGTAGAGGCTGCCTACAGACTCAGAAATCATTTTGTGGGCATACCTGACTCATACTTAAGCCATTTGCCTTAAAGCTGAAGAAACCTTTTGGCTGGCTTTTATGTTGAGGGGTTGTTTTTGTTTGGTTTTGTTTTAATCTAACTCAATCCCTAGAGTAAAATGCCACAGCAAAGCCCTCCCCATTTGTGGAGTCAAGGATAGAGCAGATGCCAAATGCAGACAAAAATCTCTCTTTTGTCAATAGGCAAAGGGCAAACAGGCTGCTCTGGCTGTTGGGGGTATGGGACGGCCCCAGGCTCCTTCCCACCCTTTGTTTCCCACTCCTCTCCCATGATGGCCACAGTGTGCTGGGGAAAAGCAATGGCAGAGACATTGGCACGCCCAGTTAGCAGAGAGGCTACATACAGATGGAAGGTACTGCAGCACATCTGGACCTCACCATGCTGCCAAACAGCCTACATAAAATAAGTCTTCTGCTGAAAGAAGAAGAGCAGGTTGGGGACCCTAGCTTGAGCTTCCTCCACTCAGGAGTGCATTCATGCAGAAGGGAAAGAAGCAGAGTGTGGGGTGGGCAGCCCCTGTGAGCTTGCTGTGCTGCAGGATGCTCATTAACATCTGCTGTGCTGCTCCTCATTAACATCACAGGAACCCGGAGTAGCAGGTTAGTGAGGTGCTGCAGGAAGAGGAGAGCTTGGTGGCAAAGTGACCCAGAGGGTACAGCAGGAGTTCAGGCAGCTGAAGTTCCCCAGTACTCCCCACTCCCACAAACCCAGTCCAACTGACACCAGGACATAGCAGCTGTAGGGGACAAATGGAGGTGCTGTCATGTGTCAGCCAGATATATCACAGAGGGAAATAAACTTGCAAGCTCCACAGGGAATAAAGAGGGTAAATTGCTGAGATGTGGCTGAGCTAACTGCTGTCAGGAATAAATTAAGTCCCCATAAGGCGTCTAGGAATATGTACCCACATCCTTAGCACAGGAACTGCCTACAAATCAGGGTTAGCTTGGTCAGACCAACCAGAGTAAGCGAAGGAAAGAGGAAGTGGAATAGAGCTAGCTTTCTTCAGCCCACAACCCTGTCAAATCTCCCACAGACTCCAAGAGGGTACCAACCCCTTGCTCCCTATCAGATGAAGCAGGCTGAGTGGGTGACGTGTTCAGGGGGCCTGTGGCCTGCCCCACTGCATCACGCTTCTCCCTTGCCAGCCCTGCCTGCTCACCACCTACCCCCCAGGCAACACCCACCTTCCTTTCCAAGAGACCACGGGTGAAGACGGAACAGCCGACCCCACAAACTCAGGAGGTTCAGCCCCAAAACATAGGTCAGGGGCATCCAATTTCCCTCTGCCAATTCAGACCTGGCCAAGGGTTCGGGCTGGGACACAACTCACCTCTGTTGCAAGCAGTGCCTCTCCCGGGACATCACACCTCCTCCGCAGGACCGGGAGCAGGTGGACCAGGAGCTCCACTCTCCCCACCATTTGGTGACTTCTTCATCCCAGAGGCCAGCTCCATCTGCTGCCTCACTACTGTCCTGACAGAAACAGAGCATGGTTAGCTGGGGAACCTGGCTCCTCACCACCCCAAACAGAGAAGGGCCTTGCAAAGTCAGCTCGCCCAGGGACCATGTCACCTGGATGCCTTCTAAATGGGCAGCACTGGGACAACCATGGCAGGTTCAAGGTCCCTGTGGGGCCACACCAGGCTCATGCATCTCAAAATTCAAGTTTCCCTCCAAGACTGAGTTATGGGAAGGAGAATGCCTCTGGGATCTCATGCCATGCTGTAGAGAAGGGCTGTTGGGCTGGTTATATGTGACAGTAGCACCAGCTGCAGTCTGACTCCACAGCATCACTCCCAGCCTGGGTCAGACAGAACAGCAGATCACAGCTCATGCTGCCTGCCTGCAGCTGATGCAAGGTCAGGAGAGAAGAGGAACAGCTGCGGTGCTTGGCCCTGTAGATGCCTGCCTGCAGGGAAGCTGGGGGTACACATCTATCACTCACTGGAGCTGCATTTCAACAAATAAACTCTGTGATTCAATCAGTTCAGATCCAAGCTCCTCTCCCTCCAGCCCTCACAAGTCATTTTCAAGAGTGCTTCAGAGCCTGAGTCTCCTGCAATTGCTGTTGTTCCCTTTCCCCATGCACTCCACTATTCTCAGAAGAGGATTACTCTGTCTCCCAGCATGCCTTACTGGGGCTGAGCCTTTAATTTTGGCAAACCTGAGCAATCCCAGCCCTGTCATGGTCATTGCAGCAGGCTGCTGTTGGCTGTGCCTTCACGATTCCCAGCAGGTAAGAGATTATGCGCTTTAGGTTTGGTTTTTTTCCTTAGAATATTTTCCTGTTTAGTGTCTGTCTGACGGCCTAAAAGCTCCCAAGGACTTCGGCAAACTAGCCTGTGCAGGAACTAATTTGCTGTTTATTGAAATACAGCTGTGAGTAGTGTTACATGCAGCAATGAGTTTAACACAGGACAGTGACTAGAAGGGATTTATGAAGTTGAAAATATTGACAGTGTTTGAGTATAGTAGAAGAAAATAAATAACGCGTGTGTGTGAAGTCAGGGAATGTTGAGGCTCAGGGAAGTTGTATCAGTGCTACTATTAACAAAATATACCAGTCTGTGGCAGTGGCCAATAGTCCTGTTTCAAAGAACCAGTCTGCAGAGTGTAACTGATGGATGTGAAAGCAAACTCAGCAGGATTTGCTCATCACTAAATGCACTCTGTATGCTATTTTGGTTGACTATCTCTTGGCTTTATGCTCTTTCATAATGTAATGCAGCCAAAGTGTTCTTCATCTTGCAGTGTAATTCCTGCCTGAAAACTTGTTGCTTCTACAGCATCTGCCAATAGAACATCCTTTGGGCAGAGGAGGTGCAGCTGGTTTATGCAAATGTTTTTAAGTTGTAACTTAGAGTGGCTGAATATGCTTCATGGTGATAGCCAGAACATGTTGAAAGTAACCTTCTCTGCTGCAGAAAAGTACCATAACACCCAGTGCTTTACTCTCCAGTGATTACAGTAGTTAATTTTGAAAACAATACAGCACAACTCTTTGCTGTACTTAGATGTTCTGGCTGGAGTTGACTTGCCTGACAGGGACCAAATGTTGTTATCAGCAGCTGAGTTGCTTGACAGAAAAATTAAACAGGCATGTTTTCAAAAATACCTTTTTCTCTTCTTCCAAATGATCATCTCAACCTATTTCCTGTGAGAATTTTTGTCTGACTCTATATTATCAGACTGTAAATAGAAATGCTGACTATGTTGCTTCCACACTTAAAAATGAAAGAAACCAAAGGTCTCTTATTGTAAGATACTTTTGGCTAAAATCTTTCCCTGACCTTTTCTATGCTTCTCTGTGATAAGCATCTCACAGCCTGTAAAGAAAGAGCTGTTCACAACTGTTGGGATGGAGAATGCCAATGATTTATCTGGTGACTGTGCAGAGAGCTCAGCACAATACAGATTCTCTCATAGTGGGGGTAATAATCAAAGCCTGTGTCTTACCACTTCACTAAATAGTTACACAAGGCGCATGGATTGCCTGCAGGGAAGGCATGTGGACAAAAAGCTGCAATATTTACACAGTTTTTCCCCAGGTGGCAATAAAAATTTGTGTCACTCTAACCAGCAAGATAGTCCTGCTTCACGGATTTTACAATCCAAATAGGTGAGACAAGGCAGAAACAAAACAGGAAAAGGGAAGTTAGATAACTGTTTTACTGACCTACCCCTAGATACGAAAAAGACTTTGTATTTGGAGTGGTGGAGTGGTGTATTTTTTCTGAGTTACTGCTCTTCGGTGTTTTGCCTGGTTGCAAGGAGACTTGGCATGTTTGGGGAAGATCAGCATCTCTGCCTTTGTGTGCCTCTTTCTTATCGTTAGAGTAAGATACGTTTCTCTCCACACTGTGATTTTGAGGAATGACAGGAGCCCAAATGAAAATTTATTGAAGGATGCTAGGCAAAACCTTTTTTAAAAAATAAAATGTGTTTCCCTATATCCATAAACTCTGTTCCTGCTTCCTCACTGCACTGGAGGAATCAACCACTTTTCAAGCAGATTGATTTGGCTCTCAGGTTTTCCATGACGAAACCCCCTTGCCAGTCTTTGCCTAGGAATGTTTATTTTCTTGTGTAAGTAAGGACAATGCTGAGCTGTCCCCTTGACCAGTAAGACTTACAGCATGACTGCATCAGAGTCCTTGGCCTGGCAACATAAGAGGGGGAACTCCAGGTACTCAGAGCTGGGACAGCTGGTTCCAATCTGTGCTGAATTTATTATACTGTCAGAAATAAATTTGCACTAACCGTGACACACAAATGGTTCTTGTTTTTCATTAGTGATACTTGCATTTTCCAAATTTTCAGATAATAAATTAAAGACTGTGGGAAAGACTCCAGATTAGATTAGCTCCTAGCTTTAGTTTTCCAAGCCCCTCTGCATTTTCAAGAGTTACCTTCTGGCCAAGTGAATTCCTCTCCCCCACCTCCTCCTTGCAGGAGAAATCAAAGGGGCTTTAAAACAACTCTTCTGCATTCTCCTTGTTGTAGGAGATGCTGGAACTGCTCTAATTTGCACTCTGCAAATCAGAGAAGTGAAGCAGCCTAGAAACAACGGAGCAGGAGATGCGCACAGGTCCAGTCTTTATAAGGCTGGTTCTGTCTGGGCTTGGATGAGGGCTCTGCCTTAAGGAGGTAAGACGGTCAGGTGTGATTCCTCAGGTGATGAGGAATATAAGGCCTAGAATTTACATCTGTAGAAAAGACAGACTCTATTCCAGTTCAGCCAGGTGCTTTCCACAAGAATTTCCCCTGAGGCGTTTGTGGCTTGGCACCCAGTGATTATATAGCTGCAGTTCTTCCTCTCTGAGGTTAACCAAGTTATTTCTGTGCTTCTGCACCTACACAGGAGGCCATGCAACTGAGTAGGTGAGAGTTGCCCTCCTGTCCCCTTGCTGGGGGAACCGCATCTTTGAACCCCAGTTTGCAGAGAACTTTCTGACAATAAAATATCTGTCTCCGGATTTGCCAATATCAATGGCAGAAACATCACTCTCTCCGCCAGCATCACTGAAAGCTTTTTCTGTCTAACCAGACCCAGCAGCTGCTTCCCCTCTCCCCCCTGCCAAACAAAGGCTGACACAAACAAAATGCTTCAGCCCTGCAAAGAATGGTGGGCTTGGACTGACATCATATCAGATTTCCAGGCGGTCTTTCTGAAGAGCTGAAAGGGATAAAACAAATTCTCCACTGACTCCCTGTCATGCTCTGGATCAGCTCTAAGCTATGCTGGGTTTCCCAGAAACCTGGGAAAAACTGCAATTACTGTGTCAGTGGCCCAGTCTCCTGTGTTGCTTATTGTTGTGCCTAATCTTGAGATTTGTTAGAGCCTGGGTCCTGGAAAAATGCTGTCTGGGAAGAGAGACCACAAACATGCCTGTCTAGTTCCCTTAACAGAGGAGCTTGCGGGGGGAAGCTCTCCCGCTGCAGCCTGGCATGCCTTAAGGGCTGGCCCACCCGAGGGGCACAGTAGCTGTCATAAACTGTTCCACTCAGCCCTGTCTGAGCTTGTAAGACTACTAGTACTAGTGCTGAGATATAAGACTGCTAGACTACTGCAGCTGAAAATGAAATAAATTCTTCACAGACTTCTGAGGCTACTAACTCCATGTCCTCTACCAAAAATTTCCACAATCCCTTTACTTAAGGGCTTCTCTCTACAGCAAACCACACACACTATTTACTGAAATACTAAGTGGCTTCAGATGTCTTAATGCCTGGAAGGGATGTCAGATTATTATCTGAAAATGAATGACCATGTTCAACTCCCTAAAGCTGTGGTGAAAGACTCTACCACAGCCCTGAAAAAAAAACAATAGCATTTGCAATTATGCCTTAATGTTTTACAAAAGAACTGGTGTTTGTGTAAAGCTGTTTTTAATCCTGTCATGGTTTTATCCTATTTGGGTAGGCTAAATAGTTTTATGAGAGATTCAGTGTTGGAAGCAGACATAAAATGCAATTTTCCTTACGAAAGCTGAAACAAGGTATCTGAGGTGTCTTCCATGAGGGGAAGGTATCCTGAGGTAAAATAAGCAATGCAGAATAATTTTTAGGGGATCAGGAAGAACATTAATCTGGGGTGAAATAGTAGCTTGCTAAAGATGTGATATTGCAGCCTAAGTAACAGAAATCTGGACACATAATGAGGTGCAGATGAGAAGCAAATTAGAAAATCAGTGAACAGAAGCCAGTGGAGAACTATCAAGTATTGTCCATAACACTGTTGTGACAGACATTTCACAGGCAAATGCTGCATGTCATTACAAAATACTTGATCCAAGTCAGTTAGGTCCTTCAAGCGGGATAACGCACTTATTCTGGGGCAAACTAGTAAAAAGGATGGAAATCTGTGAAGGGGAAGAAGGGAATAACAGGTGGTGTACATGAGAGGCATCTCATTGTCAGTTTTTTCAGAGGCGCTGAATGCAATTAGCCCCACATAGGAAGGAATTTGCTTA